TCTCTCCCTCCAATCTGATATCCAATCTTTCATCGCCTAATATTTTTGTTATCCTCATAACCTTACTCTTTCCTGTATTCACTTTTAATTTTCTTCTTTTGCACACCCTACCAAATTCATCCACCAATCTCTGCAACTTCTCTTCAGAATCTCCCAAGAGCACAGTGTCATCAGCAAAGAGCAACTGTGACAACTCCCACTTTATGTGTGATTTTTTATCTTTTAACTCCACGCCTCTTGTCAAGACCCTCGCATTTACTTCTCTTACAAGGGTCTTGACAAGAGGCGTGGAGTTAAAAGATAAAGAATCACACATAAAGTGGGAGTTGTCACAAGACAACCAAAAGTATGAAAAAAAAAAAACTTTTACCACATGAAATATTAAGTTTAATGCAATAGAATAATTACAATAACAACAATAACAATAGAATAATAACAATAGAATAATTGACACTGACCTTAGGTTAGGTTAGGTTAGGTTAGGCCCTCCATTAGGACTTGAGGTAGCTTTTCCTTCTGAGTAATGTAGGTCCTGCTTGGCAATTTCTTCCAAAACAGGCCTGTTTTGTCACAATTAAACACTTGTTCAGGTTTCAATCCTTCAGCCTCTATGTACTCCTTGAATTCATGCACATATTTTTCAGCCGCTTTGTGGTCTGAACTGGCAGCCTCACCATGCCTAATCACACTATGTATGCCACTACGATTCTTAAATCTTTCAAACCAACCTTTGCTGGCCTTAAATTCACTCACATCACCACTAGTTGCAGGCAATTTCTTTACCAAATCGTCATGCAACTGCCTAGCCTTTTCACAAATGATCGCTTGAGAGATGCTATCTCCTCCTATCTGTTCTTCATTTATCCACATCAATAACAGTCTCTCAACATTTTCTAACGCTTGTTGTCGCTGTTTCGTAATCACCGTTGCACCTTTTGCAAGAACAGCTTCCTTGATTGCCGTTTTCCTGGTCACTATAGTAGAGATGGTTGACTGGGGTTTACTATACAACCTGACCACCACTTCCATACTCTGCAATTATCTCTTTCTTCATTTCAATAGTCATTAGCACCCTTGGTCTCGAAGGGTTGGCACTAGAAGCTTTCTTGGGGCCCATGGTGACTTATTTTGCAGAAACAAGCACCAAAAACAGTGATAATATGGATAATATAGAATGTACCGAATGTATCCTTAGATGCGCGCACACTGGCTGGCTTATAAACACTGGACACGTCTCGTACGAATTGTATCGCATACCGGGTTTTGTATCAGGAAGCGAGGCAAATTTTTTTCGATCAAATGCATCGGCTACCGGATTTATCGGATACCGATAGCATCGGGAACCGGGGGTCCACTGTATTTTTAATGTGAATAAAAATTCTTTATATGAATAAGAAATCAAAATGGAATTCATATGTAAAGCCTAAAAATGTAACTAATAAACAGAGAAAATGTTATTTTAGTGCCAGGAATGCCTGCAGTGTTTATTCTGGACCCTATTTTGAAATTGGAATATTTTGAACTTTGTGTGAAACTGGCCAAATTACCAATTTCTGATCACTTATTGGGCAGTTGAAAAAGTTGACTGGGCAATTTCTTGTGCTCAATCGATAAAATAGAAGTAATACTAGTGAAATAGCTAAGAATTTGATCGACTGGAATAACGTAATTGGCATAAAATAGGAGTCAGATTGGGCAAAATTGCCGATGAGTAAATATTTCTGACACAGTAAAATTCGTGATAGTGTAATTTCGTCAATTTTCCATCAAATTTTGTACTTCTTGTTTTATTACCTTCAGAAAAAAAGTCTACAATTTCATGAGAAAAAATAACAAAATTTTTGGAGGGGAAAAATCTTGGACTCTGTGGACAAGGCGTAGAACTACGGCTTCAACCCTCAAAGGGTTAATGGGGCATCTGTAGTAGCAGTAACTCTACCATCATATTCATGTAACTCCAAGTCTTCATTACTATCTTCAACAGTATAATCAGTGTGGGCACATAGTAAGTGGACAGTAGTCCATGGAGCGAGGGAATGTCAAAGATGAAACATGTTATGTTACTTTGAGGCAAACCGTTTCCAAAATACCCAGTGTGACAGACATTTTTTGTTGGAGCACACACCAGCAATGCAGGTCTACTTTATCCCATGTAAGTCTAATATTCCTGATCATGGCCATTTTGAGAGAGCTAGAATTTAAACGTCGAAATACGTGTGGCAGTATATGCACACCCATTGATTAACAGGTATGGCAGTTTAAGGGTTAACAGATATATAACCTTCGACATACCTTTGAAGAGTTTCGAGAGTTTATCTACTCTCTGAGCCCGGCCATGGGGCAGGCTCATCTGGTGCTTGCCTGGTCAACCAGGCTGTTGCTGCTGGAGGCCCGCTGCCCCACATATCTATCACAGCCTGGTTGATCTGGCACCTGGTGAAGATACTTGCCCAGTTTCCTCTTGAAGGCTTCTACACTGGTTCCAGCCGTGTTTCTGATATACTCTGGTAAGATGTTGAACAGTCTGGGACCCCAGATGTTGATACAGTGTTTCCTTATTGTCCCCACTGCACCCCTGCTCCTCACTAGGTTTATTTTACACTTCCTCCCATATCTCTCACTCCAGTAGGTTGTTATGGCAGTATGCAGATTTGGGACCAAGCCCTTGAGTACCTTCCAGGTACAGTATATATTATCATGTACCTCTCTCTCCTCCGCTCCAATGAATACATGTTCAAGACTTGCAGGCGTGCTTTACAGGTGCTTTACAGGCTCAGTGTGAGCCGCAAACAATCTCTGTATTTGTTCCAGCTCAGATATTTCTCCTGCCTTGAACGGGGCCATCAGGATTGAGCAATACTCTATGTGAGGGAGCACTAGCGATTTGAAGAGTGTCATCATCGGCATTATTTCCCTTGTACTGAAAGTTCATCTTCCTGGCTGTCATGATCTTTGTCTTGTTATGGTCTTTGAAAGAAAGGACTGCTGACATAATTATTCCTAGGTCTTTTACGTGTTCCTTACGTTCTATTTGGTGACCCTCTTGAGTTTTGTATACAGTACTCCTTTTGAGTTCTTCATTCTTTCCATACCTAAGCAGCTGGAACTTATCACCACTGAACATCATGTTGTTCTCCACTGCCCACTGGAAAATCCTGTTTATGTCTTCCTGTACTTTTTCAGTGTTCTCTACCATACTGACTTCCATGCTTATTTTAGTGTCATCTGCAAATGATGATACAAAAGTGTGCCGGGTGTTTTTGTCTGTCTGTCTATGAGGATGAGAAACAGCAGAGGTACCAGGACAGTGCCTTGGGGCACTGAGCTTTTGACCTCACTGATGCTGGATCTTGCCCTGTTCACTACTACTTTTTGTGTTGTGTGTGTTAGGAAACTGAAAATCCATCTGCCTAACTTCCCTGTAATGCCCATGGCCTTCAGTTTATGCACTATCACTCTATGATCACATTTGTCAAATGCCTTTGCAAAATCTGTGTAAATCACATCTGCATTTTTGTCGTCTTCCAATGCCTCCGTAATTCTGTCATAATGGTTCAGCAGCTGTGACGGACATGATCGTCCTGCTCTAAAACTATGCTGGTTCGGGTTATGTTGGTTGTGCTTGTCCATGAAATTTGCAATCTGCTGTCTCATCACTCTTTCGAAGATTTTTATGATGTGAGAGGTTAGGGCTATTGATCTTTAATTTTTAGCTAGTGCTCTACTACCTCCCTTATGCAAAGGAGCTATGTCTGCACTCTTTAAGGCCTCCAGTATCTCACCTAGATCTAAGCTCTTTCTCCAAAGAATACTGAGGGCTTGTGCTAGTGGTACTTTGCGCTTCCTTTGCGCTTCCTTATAAATAGAGCATTCCATGAATCTGGTCCAGGTGCTGAGTGAGTGGGCATGTTTTCCATTTCTTTTCGAAATCTATGTGATTTGTATTAATGTCAGTTAGTTGGTCTGTGCGGCTTTCTTCTGGAGTGGTCCAATTCTATAGGTAGTTCTTAGCTTGGATTTCGCATAGGAATAGAAATATTTTGGGTTTCTTGCAATATCTTGTATGGCCCTTTGTTCCCTTTGTACTTCTTCTGTGAGGTATGACATCCTAAGTTTTTGCTCTAATTCAGTGATCTCTCTGCTAAGTCTATATTTCCTCTGTTGTAGCATATTTGTGTTTTTAAGCAGTTCAGTAACCCGTTTTCTTCTTCTGTACCATCTCCTACGCTCTCTCTATATCTGATCTTCTCTGGGTTTCCTCTATGGTACATGTTTCATAAATACTTTGTATGCTTCTGTATTCAGCTTCTCTAGGCACTGGTGGGGATTTAGGGTGCTCATGTCTGATTCCCAGGGTATGTCTGATAGCTCTTGGTTTATTTTTTCCCAGTCAATTCTATGGTTGTCAAACTTAAACTTACTGAGCATCCCATCTCTAACTTTAGTGATGCAGTTTCCTACCCCTGAGTTAATACTAGTTTGAACCTCTATGATGTTATGATCAGAGTATATAGTTTTTGTAACTGTTGTGTCTCTAATCAGTTCCTCGTTGTTTGTGAATATCAAAACCAGGGTATTTTCATTTCTGGTGGGATCAATTACCTGTTGGTTTAAAGAGTACTTTTCACAAAGCCTCATTAGTTCCCTGGTATGTGCCTGTTGAGCCAGGGTGCTTCCCGGAGATATTTCTGGTATAACATTACGTTGTGCCATCTTTCATTTTACATGAGGGAGATTAAAATCTCCAATAGAGATTAAAATCTCTACCCATAGACACTAAAGAGCCTTCAAGAGAAACTTAACAATTCCCAATAAAACAAGCAAGGCTGTGGTGCCCAAGCTGTAGAGTGACTTGCCAGTACCTCCCTGCTGATCAGGCTGTCAACCTGGAGGTCAACGCAGAGATGGTACACTGGGATGGTATACCTCTGAGCCATATAATAAGATTAGGTATTCCACCCCAAAACGTAATGAGTGAAATATTAATGCCATACACTTACCATCTTTGACATCCTGGACAATGACTGGACTTTCCCCAGAGACAGTAACTCCATAGCCCCGCTCTCCTCGATGGATGACCACTGTACGTAAATTACTGGAGTCGTTGGAGTCATTGCCCTCCACTATCGACTCCAGCCTGAAAATTAAAGTTAGTATTAAACATCCAATAGACTGTCAAGTATTTTTTATGTTAAGTAAAAGGACACAAATGCAACTAATGTGACGTTTTATTGTGGCAACGTTTCCCTCTCCAGGAGCCTTATCAAGCTGTTACAAACAATACACAGACACAGAAGGTATATATACGTATAGGCTTAGAGCAAAGTGGAATACCAGTTTTAGTAGTAGTAATAATATTAGTTGTACAGTGGACCCCGGTTATCGGCTGGTTTGGTTATCGGCCAACTCAGTTATCGGCGGGTTTTTCGGCGCCCGGTTATTGGCCGTTCGCTCAGTTATTGGCGGTTTTGGATGTGTCCATCCGCCGGCTGGGGCAGCTTGTGCTTCAGTTTGGCTTTGTCTCTCGGTGGCTGAGGAGGCTTCTGCTCATACATCCAAACATTTCACTTGTTTACCATTTTTTTAGTGGTTTTTCTTGCAGTGCAACTGTGAAATAAGTAACCATGGCTCCAAAGAAAGTTCCTAGTAAAGTTCCTGTGGTAAAGAAAGTGAGAAACACCATGGAATTTAAGCGTGAAGTGATCGAAAAGTTTGAGAGTGGAATGAAGGAGATGGAACATGCCAGGATGTACAGCAAGAATAAATCAACAATTACATCCATCCTGGCAAAGAAAGAACAAATCAAAGACACTAATGTTGCAAAAGGAGTAGCATTTCTAACTAAACAAAGGACACCGATAATGGAAGAGATGGAAAAGTTATTATTATTGTGGATTAAGGAAAAAGAATTAGTGGGAGACAGTGTAGTGGAGTCTACTATTTGCAAGAAGGCAAAGCAGTTGCATGAGGATCTTGCAAAGAAAATGCCTGGAACAAGTGCTGCAGTTTGTGAATTTAGGGCCAGCAAAGGATGGTTTGATAGATTTAAGAAGCATAGTGGCATACACAGCATTGTAAGGCTGCAAGTTCTGACAAATGTGCAGCTGATCAGTATGTTCACGAATTCCAGGACTATGTAAAGGCTGAAGGATTCGAACCCCAACAAGTTTTCAATTGTGACGAAACAGGCCTGTTTTGGAAGAAAATGCCAAAGAGGACCTACATTACCCAGGAGGAAAAGGCACTGCCAGGACACAAGCCTATGAAAGACAGGCTTACTCTTTTGTTGTGTGGTAATGCTAGTGGGGATTTCGAAGTGAAGCCTTTACTTGTGTATCACTCAGAAAATCCCAGAGTGTTTAAGAAAAACAATGTCATGAAGAACAGATTGTGTGTGATGTGGAAAGCTAATCATAAGGCATGGGTCACAAGGAAAATTTTCAAAGAGTGGGTTAATGATGTGTTTGGCCCAAGTGTGAAAAAATACCTCCTGGAAAAGAAATTGCCACTCAAGTGCCTCCTGTTACTGGACAATGCTCCTGCACATCCTCCAGACTTGGAAGACCAAGTGTTTAGGGACTTCAGTTTTATAAAAGTGAAGTTCTTGCCTCCTAGGTAGTAGGTTGGTAAACAGCAACCGCCCAGGGAGGTACTACCGTCCTGCCAAGTGAGTTTCAAAAGTGTTTCAAAAGTGCTTTGAAGTGACCTCAGACACTCAGTTGACCCTAAGACAGTTCTGGAGGAATCACTTCACTATCCTCCACTGCATAAGCCTTATAGGTAAGGCTTGGGAGGGAGTGACTTCCAGGACTTTGAACTCTGCTCGGAGAAAACTATGGCCAGATTGTGCCCAAGAGAGGGATTTTGAAGGGTTTGAGACTCACCGTGACCCTGACCCTGCTGACCCTGTGGACTCTACTGTGTCTTTGGGGAAGTCCCTGGGGTTGGAGGTAAGTGGTGAGGATGTGGAAGAGTTGGTGGAGGACCACAGGGAAGAGCTTACCACTGAAGAGCTGCAAGAGCTTCAACTTGAGCAGCAACAGACTGCAGCTGAGGAACTTGCTTCAGAGGAGGAGGAAGAGGGAGTGGGGGAGGTGCCTTCTTCAGAAATTGAAGAGTGTGTGTGCAATGTGGACCAGGGTGCAAGCTTTTATAGAGAAACACCACCCTGACAAAGCTGAAACAAGCCATATCTGCAACATGTTTTGTGACAAAACCCTGTCCCACTTCAGGGAAATCTTAGAGATGCCAGAAACAGAGCACTCTGGACAGTTATTTTGTGAGACACGGGTCCAGTGACTCAAGTTGGTTCTAGTGGCATTAACCCTTTGACTGTTTTCGACGTATAAATACGTCTTACGAGCCAATGTTTCTGACATATATATACTCAATAATTCTAGCGGCTTCAAATCAAGCGGGAGAAAGCTGGTAGGCCCACATGTGAGAGAATGGGTCTGTGTGGTCAGTGTGCACCACATAAAAAAAATCCTGCAGCACACATTGCGTAATGAGAAAAAAAAAAAAAACTGATAGTTTTTTTGGAATAAAACGCCGACTTTGAGGTGTATTTTCGTGTAGTATTTATCGTTGTATTCGCGTTTTCATGGTCTTAGGTGATAAAATGGAAAACATATTACAGAAATAGATATGATTTTCATTACTTTGACGATGAAAACGACCTTGAAATTGAGCTCAAAGTAGCGGAAATGTTCGATTTTTACCAATGTTCAGGAGTAAATAAATCACACCACACGTCCAATACACGTCAACTGGGGAGTCTAATATTCTTTCACTAGTGCACTGATATTATTTATACCATTTTTGCAATAATGCAGTAGTCTGCATATCAGTAAATTTTGTATTTTTTTGTATGAATAAAAAATCAAAATAGAAAGCAATAATAATATAAGAGGGGCCTAGAGATGTGACTAATGAACAGAGAATATGTTATTTTAGTGCCACGAATGTCTACCTTGTTTATTCTGGACCCTATTTTGAAATTGGCATCTTTTTTAGTTTGCGTGAAATTGGCCAAATTGCCAATTTCTGACCACCATATTGGGTAGTCCAAATTAGTAAATGAGAGGTTTCTTGTACTCAGCTGATAGATAAAATGGAGTTCTAAAGAAATAGCTATGAGTTTGGTCAACTGGAACAATGGAATTGGCTGAAAATAGGGCTCAAAGTCGGCGAAATCGCCGATACGCATATGTCGCCGAGACCGCTAACTTCGCGGGAGTATAATTCCAGGAGTTTTCGACCAAATTTCGAACTTTTGGTGTCATTACTATCGGGAAAAGATTCTCTATCATTTCATAAGAAAAAATAATTTTTTTTTTCAAAAATTGAGCGACATAGAATGACAGTTTCAGAAAGGGGCCTGAAACAGTCAAAGGGTTAAAAGACAGAGAAGGGAAGTAACCCCAGAGAAGGCATTACTACTTAAAGTCTTCAGGGAGGGGGATTCCCCTTCCAAACACTAACTCCTCCCTCTTTTCTCCTCCCTATCTTCCAGAAGCCAACATTAGCCTTCAATAAAGGTATGTAATACTTACATAATTGTAAAAAAAAAATTTTTTGTGAATATTTTTGTTGGGAACGAATTAATTTTATTTTCATTAATTCTTATGGGAAATATTAATTCGGTCATCGGCCATTTCAGTTATCAGCCGACCTTCAGGAACGGATTGCGGCCAATAACCAGGTGTCCACTGTAGTAGTAGTAGTAATACAATATGGTATTACAATTAACTTGCACATGTGTAAAAGGTTATAAAAGCTATTACTTGGGTAGCATAAAAATAGGTTAGACAAATATTTCTGTTGGAAGCTGGATTAGAGAAGACCTGTTTCAGTGTTCCTCCTCTGTAATGTGCTCGTGAAGTATTAGCAGGAGAGATTATGTGATGGCAGGGTTTACTGTTTTCAGGAGGATTCTCACTAAGACTTCAGAGATGATGAAGCTGCCTATGTTTTCTTTGTGTCAGAAACAGCAATTAATGCACTTGTGTCTGCAGAAATTAATTTCTTTGATCACTAATCAGGCATCCCTGAATTCCATGAGATGACTGGTGGAATGTCGGTGTTGTATGCAGGCGTTGTTCAAGTTATCGTTCCTACATGCATTAATGTGTTCATTGAGGCATGTTTTGAGATATTTTTTTACCTCATCCCATTACAGTAGTTCAATCTAAACTCATTATATCAACTAACTGGTCTGGAAGCCTGGTCCATTACTGGACTGCAGGGGCAACAAACTTTATTTCTTTAGAGTGGAGTATGGTACATTATACAATTAGGGTGACTGACATATATAAACTACTTTACAGAAATCTCTTTATTATATAAGTCATTTTGGGCAGCATTAAAACTAAATTATTATTACAAGAATAATATAAGAATAAGAATACAGTTTTAATTATACAGTCTCCCCTCACTTAATGACTCACTGATTTAACGACCACTTGAGCTTACGACCAGCTCTCTGACCAGTATGCATACCCAAGTAATGTAGTATATTTGAACTGATTTCCTCTATTCTGTTTATTACAACATAGAGTACACTACTGTATAAACATTTAAAAATATACTAACAACGTTATAAATAGTGCAAAGGTGACATTAAAAAATGTGTTAAAAAAAATGCTTAATATTACTATATAGTAATTAAAATGTGTACAAGCTTGTAAATGTCTGTCAGACTACAGATGATGGAAAAGGACACAAACGCAGTGTTTAGGTCTGAATCCTTCTGTGGACTGAGAGATAATGTTTGTAAATAATTTTGCCCATTTGCAAATTGTTAAGCATTTCAAAATCTCTTTCACAGTTTACTGCATGTGGCAGGATTTAATAAAATATCTTATCACTAGCCTGGTGCCCAGAGGTACGGGAGCGACCATCTAGCTTTGGCTAGGTGCCCATACTTATTCTGCAATCTGACTGAGTGGCTTAACCTTCTGAGGATTGAGAGGCCCTCTCCCAAACTCATTCTCAGGGTAAAAAAAAAAAAAATCCTATGAAATGATAGAGAATCTTTTTCCGATCATAATGACACCAAAAGTATGAAATTTGATGGAAAACTTATGGAATTACCCTCTCACGAAGTTAGCAGTCTCGAAGACATTTATGCATCAG